GCTTACTTGAAAAATGACAGTAAGATCTAGTCCATACTGCTATAGATACAGGAATACAAGCCAGCAGAGGCTAAAGCCCCAATAATCTTTGACTTTGCTAATATGCCCAAAATATGGCCTATATCTTCCAGCTTTTTCAGTTGCTCTGATGGAAGCTTTCAGGCCATCTAAGGTTGCAGAAACACCCTATTATCACACTCTGCAGACCCACAGACTATTTCTCCCAGCTATTATAACTACCAATTAAATAATCAAAGCCTCCTCCAACTTCCACCCCAATGGACAGGGTTTAAATCTTCAGCTGGTGTAATTTTGAATTTCTCCACCATTTTTATGGGACCTATGACAATTTACATCAGCTGAGGAGCTCCCACCTCCCATGACTAAGGAATGAAAGCAGTGATGCTTGTTGGCATTTACTATCTCCTTCTCCTTTGCAAATGATGCATTCCAATCCTGAATGCCTTTGGGGACCAAATGTCTCAACATGAAAGACAGGAAACAGCATCTGTCACGAGTGAGGGAAAACTGCTCTTCCCTGGTCCTGCTGCAAGGGAACTGTACCAGCGTGGCATCCCTGTCCATTGCTGGAGATGCCTGTTAGCCATTTCCAACTGCACCAGCCATGTCCATCTCATGGACCAGTGCTTTCACAGTCCTAATGGTGAAGTTAAGCCATTTCTCCTGACAAGCATTAAGGGATTAAACCTCTGGTGCTGTACAACTCCTCCCAGCCTGGGCTTAAGCTCATCCCATGGCACCAATTCCTCCCGGCATCCCAGCGGTAACGAGATGGGTCCATCAGGAGCCAAAGCCAAGCTCACAGGAGCAAACGACTCCCTTTTGCTCTCTGTTGGTCACAGGCACGTCTCATCCTCCTGTGGTCCGAGGTAGATTAGAGCAGCTGCACCTTGACCAGTTTATAATATTACAGTGCTCCAGTCCTGCAAACATCATTCCCTTTTGCTTCCTCCACGACTCCCTTGGCTAAGAAAAATCCATTTGATTAAGAGGAATCAAAAGCACCCAGACCAATTAATTTCCACCAAGACTTTTGGGAAGCACTGGCGTTACTGCTGCCTATCAACAGTGGGGTAAAATGTCCAACCTTCTTAAAATTGACAAAAATATTTTTTAAAATTACCAAACCTGAGATCCAGATCCAGACTTTGACAGCAATTACTGCCATCCGCCATTTCTAGGAGAATTCAGCACCCGTGCCTCATTAAACTCTGTTAAAAGGGATAATTAGCAGGAGACTGACAGTAATTTACCCAGTTCATTTATCAGAAGGGATAAAGCCAACCTGAAACACGTCGATGTGAGGGTCTTAAAAGTTGTATTATTCTGTGCTGTTGTGCAACAAATACATCACTAGCAGAATGGATGTGGACCACGGTGTTAATTGGGACTGCTGGGGTGTAAATAATGTTTTGCTTCATAAAGTCTGGCTAGGGCGAACAAATTATTTAGCTCTCATACTACAGCTGAATTAAGAGCTCAAATGTATAAAAGGGTGTACCTAAGAATCGATAGCGGATCACCAAAGCATTTAATCACTGTTTTACTAATCTCCCTGCACTATCTGAACTCACACTGACTCCTCACACTAAAATCAATGGCGCTAATACACTCATTAAAAATGGTGCTTTCGGAGGAAAGAAACCATCAGAGTCTGAAAAACTAACTAGGGGCAGAAGAGCTGAAAGCTGTGAATAGCCCATGGGCTTGTGCTCCAAGACTTCCTGGGGGAGCGAGAAACTCTCTAAAAAATCCCTTACAGGAATTTCTACTGCAATCTTCTACAAAGGGCAAGCGCCTGTGACTATGTGCATATTCCCGAGAGGGGACAGCACCTGATGATGTTGCCTTTGCATCCCACACCACCTCTCATTCATACCCCTCACCAGCAGCTGAAAGGTTTGCTGCATCCTCCCGCAAGGCTTCTCTGCAGGACTCTCAGCTCTGACCTGCACATCTGACACGCCTGTCCCAAGACTCATTTCTCCCAAGTCTGTCAGTTCAGCTGTGATAGCTTCTGCTCGGCATCTACAAGCTCCAGACAGTCTCTCCCCAAAGGATTTTCTGAAATACACTGAATTTCTGACCAGGGTTTCATGAGGCTGCCTGGAAAAGGATGTTGCTCAAAACTATTCAAAGATAGCATTTTTCATATTTTTTTAATGCGACTATTGAACAAATATCAGAATGCAATATTGCCCCTGGGATTGGAAAATGGAATTATATCTTCCAACAAACATGAGAAAATGGATACCAACGTCTCTATTAGCAACAAAACGTTTCATGCTTAGAAACTGGGAATCTAACACCCCTCCAGGGAATTCAGAATGGTGAGGAAAAAATGGTCTAAGACAGCATAAGAAAGAAAATAAAACAAAACAAAAATATAGATATATACCTACATTGAAGTGAGACACAAACTGGATGTGGGGTGGGCAGGAGGGCATCCCTTTAGTCAGTCCCACCTCGGTGCATTCACAGGTAGCTCAGGAGGTCATTAGTGGAAAGCATTGTCCAAGATCTTCTGTGGGCCATTCTGTGGGCCACATGGAGCCCAGTATCATCAGGCACAGGAGGTCAACCCCGCACAGGGTGCATCCTCCAAGCTGCTGGTGTGGCCACTAAGCTGCACCAACTCCAAAGCCAGGCCCCATGGTGTGGCTGAGCTTCTTCTGCAAGAACCACGCTCCAGCCCGATTTGGAGAGCTCATGGACGGTGCACTTCAGACCAGCTTTGATGGCACTGGTTTACACCAGCTGGGCAAACTGGTGATCCAGCACCACATATGACACAATGACGAAAGACCCCCATTTCACCTGAGTGATACAAGAACTGCCCCAACACACACGGGAATATCTCTGTTAGGGACAGACCTTTTAGTGGTGGACTTGGTAATGTTAGGTTAACAGTTGGACTCAATGGTCTCATGAGTCTTTTCTAACCTAAATTATTATATGATTTTATGATATCCAGCATCCTACAGGGCACAGGATTTCTCCTGGGCTCCCTTCTCAAGCCACAACCCCAGAAAACAACCATCTCCTGGCGTAATAGCCAAAGAGCTGAAGACAGCATCATCAACCAAGTTACATCATGCAGTCCAGAAGAAGGAGCACTGTTTGGCACAGGGTGAAGTACAGGTGTGCATCCATATCTAGGGACTTTTATGGTTCAGCAAAAAGTTGGCACTGCTAGTTTGGCGTGTCCCCAGATTTGTTTTGTTGTAACACCAACCCAGCCATCCTAACGAGGAACCACCTGGCCAAAGCTTCCCTTTGAATTTACTGTCCAGAAGAACCAACAAATGACACCCCAGTTGCACAGGTCATTTGCATGGCTCCTATACTGAATTTTAACAACGGTACAATTCTCAAAGACAATATACAACCTAAAAGCACTCATACACAACGTACAAGATGTCCACCAGCCTGCCTTCCCTTCCTCTGCTCCTCCCAAGAGCACAGTTCATTTAAAAAAGCTTACCCCATTCTCTTCTATTATGCATTTAATGGTTTTTGAACTTCAAAGAAAGTGGAAAAAAACCCTATCGCTTCACCACGCAGTTAAATATTATGCAGCCACATCACTGAATAACACCTACAAAATACGCTGCTAAAATAAACTCCTGTTTGAACTCTTCCTATAATATTTTTCTGAGAGCTCGAAGCACGCTGCCCTTCTTCCCACACAGCACTGAAGCACCTACTTCACTTTAACCAGGTACACACTCTTCTTGAGTCAAAAGGACTAATCATGTGCTTAAAATTATGTATTTGTCTGAAGTAGCCAGTTGAATCTGAGCTTTTGTATCTAGAAGTTGCAGGGTACAAACTGGAAACATTATTCCTGTGTGAACATTATACACACATTGGCAGATATTTTCCAAAATTATCTCAGAAATCAAACTATTTGTTGTTGATAGAACATGTTCAACTCCAGCAGATCACTTTGAAAATGTAAAATAAAAACGTGCACAATATAGTATATATGAATATGGATATGCCACACAGACTATGTGCATGCCTCAGGTATACCAAATAGCAGAGCAATAAACATAAATTGAGAATAAATGAGATCAGATTTTAATTGTGGTTTTAATAACAGCAAACTGCTGGAGCTACCTGCTTATTATTAGTCTTGAAAAGTAGCATGAAAATAATACTTTAACCTTTCATCTGTAACATGGTCTTTGCTAATAAAATTATCCCAGAGTCACCCAAGCACATAGCTGGTGTCAACTACTTAATATGCAGAATAAATTAAATGCCACTTACATAGAGCAAAGAAATACCCAGCTAATTTCATGCACTTTCATGTTGGTCCTTATGCTGGTGCAGCCACAAAATGAAGACAGTCGAGCCCTGCGTCTCCTTTTCAAATCCTGACCTTTTGCAAGGAAATCACCTGATCCACTGCTCTACCAAGCACCCCTTTGCAAGGCCCCCATCGCTCTGCCCATCGTGCTGGGTGTGCTGAAATGAGCGCTGCAACATGTGTTGTGATGGCACTTAAATACTGTGGAAAGACAGTAACAGAGATTTGGGAAGAGCGAGGAACCTGGCACACTCGTCTACCACTAACCAAACCACATTAATAATCCTACTTTATCTTTCCAAAGCAAAAGTCACTTTGATGAGACAAACACCCATATCTCCATTGCAATTCAGATTCATAGCTCTTGCTACCAGAAACAAACGCACTGGTACTTCATCTGACTTTATCTGACTTGCTGTTGGTGAACAGCCCATGGAATTCAACAGAAAGACTCTTGAAAACTGATTTATTTCCATCAGGTATTAAAATTTCCAGAATTCACAATCAAATACAGGAGAGATCTTTCTCAAAAAGACCACACTTTCTCCTCCTCCACAGTGACATATGAACAATAATTAAGACAAAGAACATATACACGGAAATGAAAAAAATGGAAGGTGCTGTACATCAAAAAAACTTATCTGCCAAAACTGTCTTTTGCTACCTGCAGAATAAGGCTCCTGCTTATCGCTGTGAATGAACTCCTTTCGTTCGTATTTGGCTCTGATCCACTGTTCCCGCAGCAGTCTGGAAAAAAAGAAATACAGAGAAAAGGAAACATGGTCTAAGATACACTAAGGAAGAATCCAGAATCATTAATTCTTCAGTCAAAATACAACCGTGATTAAAAAGTCTTCCACAAACGGCATTGTACAATCTGGAGTCGATAGTTTCTTCTGTTTACTGTCGGACAACAATAAATCGTTTCCTTGTACATCCAATTTTATTGGAAACCTTTAACAAAATTTACATATTTAGTAGAATAGCCCATTCCCTCCCTTCCAATCAGCCTCTGCACAAAATTCCCTCGGTATATGAACGATTTTAAACCTAATTACCTCAGACGACATTCTTCAGTAAATTGGATCAGTAAATTAAAAAAAAACCCAACAACCAAAACAACAAACTGCATACAAAAGAAAAATCCTTGCCTTGAAGCTATCAGTGTGAAAGCAGAAATTGGGTACACCTTGTGTGATGCAGGTATACCATGGCCTTTGGGCAGTCAAAGCTACAGAGATATTGTCTCCTTGGACAACAGGAATCACACAGAATCACAGAATATTAGGAGTTGGAAGGGACCTCGAAAGATGATCCAGTCCAACCCTCCTGCCAGAGCAGGATCACCTCGACTAGGTCACACTGGAATACATCCAGGTGGGTTTTGAATGCCTCCAGGGAAGAGGACTCCACAACCTCTCTGGGCAGCCTGTTCAGTGCTCTGTCAGTAAAAAAGTTTTTCTTCATGTTCAGATTGAACCTCCTATGCTCCATCTTGCACCCATTTCCCCTTGTCCTGTCATTGGCTGTCACTGAGAAGAGCCTGGCTCCTTCCTCCTGACACTCGCCCTTTACAAATTTATAAACACTAATGAGCCCACCCCCCAGTCTCCTCTTCTCCAAGTTAAAGAGACCCAGCTCCCTCAGCCGCTCCTCATAAGGGAGATGCTCCACTCCTTCCATCATCTTTGTGGCTCTGCGCTGGACTCTTTCAAGCAATTCCCTGTCCTTCTTGAACTGAGGGGCCCAGAACTGAACACAATATTCCAGATGTGGTCTCACCAGGGCAGAGTAGAGGGGAAGGAGAACCTCTCTGTCCTACAACCACAGCCCTTCTGATACACCCCAGGATGCCATTGGCCTTCGTGGCCACAAGGGCACAGTGCTGGCTCATGGTCATCCTGCTGTCCACCAGGACACCCAGGTCCCTTTCCGCTGTGCTGCTCCCCAGCAGCTCAGTCCCCAACCTATACGGGTATATGGGGTTGTTCTTCCCCAGATGCAAGACTCTACACTTGCCCTTGTTGAATTTCATTAAATTTTCCCCCACCCAACTCTCCAGCCTGTCCAGATCTCGTTGAATCGCAGCACAGCCCTCTGGAGTGTCAGACACTGTTCCCAGTTTTGTGTCATCAGCAAACTTGCTGATAGTGCATTCTGTTCCCTCATCCAGGTTGTAGATGAATATATCTGATTCCAGTACGAACCCCTGGGGGACTCCACTAGATACAGGCCTCCAACTAGACTAGGAATTCAAGTGAGAGGTGACCTCTTCAAAATCAAAGGGACATAGGGCAGTCAAAGCCCAGACCCAAGCCAACCTTAGAAGGAACTGGGATGTGAAAAGTGAAAAAGCCTCAAAAAGACAGGGAGAAGATGGCTGGGGGAGGATGCGAGGGCTGAGCCCTGTGGAACACAGCACCCAAACACTGTTGGGTGGTGAGAACCCACCTGAGCTCTTCTAAACTCATAGCCTGTACTGATAAGTCTAAGAAAGAAATCCATGAGACATGTAATAGGCACGTTTCCTACCCAAGTCCTTTACTTTTCATGTTGAATATGATACCAATGATTTATACACCAGGTATAAGGTAAAAACACCTCAAAGATCATAAATACTTTTTTTTGCTACTTTTTTTTAGCATGAGTGCTGAAACTAATGAAGCAGTTTAGATCTAGAACATGTTAGAAATTGTTTCCAACCATTTTTAACTGCGCTTAGTTCTTAATTGCCCTAGAACCTTAAATAGCCCAAGCAGGCAGAAACAAAGGCATGCGTCGTCTCAGTCTCACAGCAGACATTTCAAAGTGACCTACACTGATGACTCCCACATTGGGCATGCTTTGTAAAACCCATCACACTTCAACACATCAACTTCTCCACCAATGAAAACTGTTGATACGCTTATTTACCTTTTCTTTTTTGCTGACTACACAAATTCAATGCCATCTTTTCAGCAGACACATTCCAGAAATGCTCAAAGAAGACAAGCATACTAACGTTGCTTAGGAAAAATTCATCGTCAAGTACAGCAAATGCATTAATCAGATCTGCAAAACACTATTCAATGAGAACTGTGGCTGTAATTGGTTTCCTTGCAGTAAAGGAGGAAATAATTACATGTATCTTGTTCCACCCATTGTTTTATCTGCCTGGTTGGGGCAGCAGCTTTCTCCCACGAGGCTTAGGGAGCACCATAGCTTCCCGGCACCCAAAACTCAACTGTGAGCTTCTGCTGTAACAGAAATAATGCATCAACTGTCTTTCCCCCTTCTGTTCTTGTTTTCATGACTGATCTTTAGTTGTTACACACACATCTGCAAGTTTGACTGTGAACTCCAAAGATGAACACTCATCTCCCTTCTGCTGCCACCCTGTGCCACACTCTGGTTTGGGTGCAACCCATCTTCAGTTCATCTCAGGAGGTTCAGATGTGTTTTGTAGAAGTGTACAAGGGGGCTCTTCTGGGTCAAGCAGGATGTTTGCAGACAGTACCGTAGCCTGTAAACGTAGAAGAATGATGACCCAAGAGGTAGCACTTAATTGCCCGTTTCTACACTTCCGCCGCCCATCAACAAAGCTACCAAAATTTAATCATAAAATCAACACAAATACTTAAATTTGTTACGCTTCTTGCAATGCTTCCAGCCCAGTTGCTGCAGACAGCTTATCATCACCATAGCCAAACTTGGACTTTTTCAACAAGACGATTAGGGACCAAACTAGGAGGAAGAAAATTCACACCACCCTCGGCTCCAGCTGACTTCAGTGGGTTTAGCAGGAGCTGCAGCTGTTCGGAGGCTCTGAAAGCCAGACTTCCAGTGGGACTGTTTAAATACAGTATAAATTCAGGTCCACGTGCAGCAACAGGAAAACACTCTTGCTGCATAACGCAGATTGTACAACAGATACACTCGGCTGGTCTCACGCCTTGGGGAACACCGCTCTGTGGTGACTTATCTCCCGTGACACTGTCAACAGCCATGGTTCAATATCTCCACAGCTTTTACACAGGAGAATGCAACTTGGGCAGCCAAGAGGTATCTCACCCAAAGGGGGTATCCTGAGAAGCCTTAAAATGCTCTCAGTAACCTCTCCCAGCATTCAGGCTGGAACACGAGTGGCCCCAATGGCAACTCTCAGCACAGACAGGACTCCAGCTGTGCTGCTTTCCCAGCTCACAGCAAGCACTTTCTGACAGCTCATGTGTTCTTCCCCTTTCCTCACCATCACAAACCCAAGCTCTTTCAGCAATAATTTCCCAAAAACCAAGATACACCCAGAGCAGCCCGTGGTTAGGACAACTCAGCACAAGGACAGTCATTGCAGCTTCTGCTCTGGGGATTATTTACAGAAAGCAGAACAACTCTAGCAAAAGAAACTGAAACAAAAACCCAATAAGGACAGCAAGGAGTCTAGCATCTTCCTTCAATGCAGCAGAGAAGCTGGATGAACAGCTTGGATTAATTTAAACAGGAGCGGAAATTTGTTCTGGTATCTATGGGATCTGAGAGCAATCGGAGGGCAGGAGCCATCTAGAGGTCTCTCAAACCATACGATCTCCTCTACCATCAGTGGACTTCAGACCTGATCTCCATTTCAAGTATGCCTTCAAAGGCCTTTTAAATATCTGTTGCTGTGTTTTAATTGAAATGTACTTTTCCTGAGGTGAATACATAAGTAAATAACCCGGGGTGGACATCACATGCTGAATACAGGACCCTCCATCCAAACCCCAGTTTGATTTCAACAGGAGTTCTGTAAGCAGAAAGGACTATAGCAACAGCCTCATGGTATTTTATTGCATTTCTGGTGATGGGATAATGTAGCAAATACGCCATTCGTGTTTGTTAGAAAAATATAAGTGCATAATTCCTAAACTCTGGAGATGCACAGCTTTCGAGATCAACTCCAAGAGCTTTAACAGCCCACCTAAAGTCTGTCAGGCTGCTGCTTACAGGGAATGTGTCAGTTTTTGGCAATTAGAACAGAAAGGTCTTTGTAATTATCAAGATAAAAACCTGGGAGCAAAGAAAAAAAAATCAAAACCCAAAACCCTAAGGAAAAACCACATTTCCAACAGAATAACGGAAAATTTGTGCCCAAATGGAACAGGACGGGGGAGGCAGCAGGTCCAGAGGCCAACAAATACCGCCAACAAGAGCTCCAAATCTCATTTTAGGTACTTGTTTGCTTGCCTGGCCACCCACATGAAAAGAAGTGCTCTCTGTCAAAGGGCCAGCAAGGAGGGTTTCAGCAGAAGCCAGTGGAGCACTTTTATCTTGGTCCCACATACTCAAAGTCTTTTGTTCACAGCAAAAAACATCACGGGGAAAGCTGTTCTAGCAGCTTAATATCAAACTGTGGCTGTGTGGCTTTATTGCGCTCTATGGAGAAGTGCTGGCCAGCCAAATTTATAGTCTCCAATTTATTGTTACTCAAGACGCTCAGCTGGGTTGGCTTTCCTAGGATGCACTACAGTGCACATAACACAGATGCTACATGGCTGCATGGCTTTTTGGAGATGTATGACAGACAAGAAGCCCCAGCCAGAGGTGAAAGTGGCCCAAAAGACATTAAACACCATCCGCTACCACCCTCTGATTGCATCTTTGTGAGCCACCATCAAGTCCAACAAAGACAAAAGGAATGACTGTCATCCAGGAATGCCATTTCCAAAAGCCAAATTTGTAGCTTCTGGAATTTGTCAGAGGTTTTTCCAGCAAAATCCAATCTGCTTTCCACA